CATCATAAAGATGTTGACAGAGGAGCCAAAGCCGAGGATATCTTGAGACATCCTTGGCTTTTTGTCCTCTCTGAGACATCCTCAACAATGGCTTGTCTCGCTTGAGACATCCTCGGCAAGATTTAGACACATATAAACAGAGAGAAAGAGAAGAAACGAGCAGGAGAAGGAGAGGAGGAGGAGGCAACAACAATCCACAATTCAAAACCTATAAGATTTTATGTGTAAGCGCTTAACGGAAATTGAGATGTTCATCTGCTCGTGTAGGGTAGCTCATCTGCCTCGTTTTCCCAGGATAGTCAACCACAGCGATAAAAAAGTTCAGGGGGGCACGGAAAGAAGGAGAAAGGTTGAGAGAGAGAAAGAAAGAGAAAGAGAAAGAGAGACAGAGGACAGATAGAGAGACAGAGAGAAAGAGAGAAAGAGGTTGAGAAAGAAAGAGAAAAATATATATAGAGAGAGAGAGAGAGACGGAGAGAGAGAGAGAGAGGGAGGAGAGGAAGATGAGAAGGAGGACGAAAAAATCCAAAGTTCAAAACTTAAAGCGCTGGATGGGATTTAAGATTTTCATCTGCTCGTGTAGGGTGGCTCATCTGCCTCGTTTTCCCCGGATAATCAACCACAGCGATAAACAAGTTGAGGGCGCCAGGGGGAGGATGAGGAGGAGGATGAGGAGGAGAGGAGAAGGAGACATCCTTAAGAAACTTACTGTTTCGCTGGAGACGTCCTTCAGTGTATGCTTGTTTCGCTTGAAACATCCTCGAGTAGATGCTTGTTCCGCTTGAGGCATCCTCGACAAGTTTCTCGCTTCGCTTGAGACATCCTCGAAGAATTGCTGGTTCCGCTTGAGACATCCTTGAAACATTGATCGTTTCGTTTGAGACTGCCTCCCAACATTGATGGTTTCGCCTGAGACATCCTGAAAAAGCGTGTTCGCTTCGCTCCATGTTGCTATCTCAACATAAGAAGGAAATAACCTCGATGGCGAACTTTTCTGGTGATAATGAAGTTCGGCCTCCGCGCCCCCGCGCCCCCGACCAAACTCTTATTGGCCGTGGATAATCAACTCTTATGTCTATCGGGGGGAGTACATTATTATCGTGGGTATGCGGTTAACTGGTTCGGAGTGGCTGGGAATGGTTGGAATCCGTTCCAACGTGGTTGTAAGTTGTCCCATTTTGGGGTTCAACCCAACACACCTCCATGCACGATCGCTACCGTTACCCAGGGGGTGGAGAGCGGTTTGGCCCTGGTAACGACCATCACGGGCAAGAGGATCAACAAACAATCTCGTAGCTGCTGGTGCTGGACTCAACCTTCGCACCTCGCATGTCGCTGAGCAACGCCAGAGCCTGCTTGCACCACGCGTCTTCCTCACGAGCGCCGACCGCAGCGCTGCAGCTGACTGTGTTGGCCTTCGCGCTGTGCTCGCGAGGTTTGCCGAGAAGCGATAGAGCCCATTGCAACTGCCTGCGTTCTTCGGGCGCGCTGCCAGCAGCGTAGTGGCCCCTGTCCTCTCACGCATAATTCAGACACGCCACGTAAAAACTGCTCTGCCTGCTAGAAATTAGGGTTGCCATTCCGCACCTCCTTGAGGCTACCTCGAGGGAAGAAGCACCTGGCCATGATCCTCCACGGATCGGCAGCCCCCCGAGACCTCGAGCCAGCTTGCCTCGAGCCTTGCACTGCCTCACCCTCCTCCTGCTTGGGAGCCAGTGGATGAGAGGTGCCCACACAAGCCCCCCTCAAGAGACCAAGACCCCTGAGATCCGACTTGCAAACAAGTTCAGCATGGGCCCTGGACACCATCTTTCTGCTTCATTTTTCTGACCAAATGGACTGTGATGGTCCCAGGTCCCGAACCCGGGCGAAAACGCCTGTTGTAACTACATTGCAACGCCAAGATCTACGGGCCCCCTGACATCGCGATCCCTCCACGTCGAGGGGAACCAGCGACCTGCACTTCGAGCATCAAGAAGGGCCGGGCAGCAGCAGCTAGCAAAACAACATCGGACCCGAGGCGAAGCGCCTGACACAGGAGGAGCTCCCGCAGAATGTGCAGGCGAATCGCACAAGCGCAGTTGCTGGTGCAGTGGCGTGCTCGTGCCCGAACCAGCACCCCATGCGGAGGAAGGAGATGAGGAGGAAAAGAGCTCGAGGAAGTAGAGGGAGCATCATGCCATCGCTGGGGACGATCTCCAGCTCTCAGGACAGAAGCCTACTCTAGCAGACTCATCGCACCAAGAATCATCCCTGCGACGGCGCTGAGGCCGCATAAACATGTCAAACTATGTCCACAAGCGGAGCGCCTCCACGGGGAGGGCCCCCGACGGGCCCCGAGGCGAGCCTCAGACGAGGGGAGGGTCCCTCGGGGCGCCTGCGGGCACCAGCACAAGCTAATAAGCCTCCCAGCCACGTCTGGAGGAGGGGGAGGAAGAGGCATGGACAAAGGAGAGTAGCCCTCTTCATGCTGTTTCTCCTCCATGCCTTCTCCTCCTCCTCCTCCTCCTCCTCCTGCTCCTTCTCCTCCTCCTCCTCCTCCTCCTCCTCCTCCTCCTCCTCCTCCTACTACTCTCCCTTCGGAACAAAACCCAACCACCTTCGTCGTCCTGCTCCTCCTCCTCCTCCTCCTCCTCCTGCTCCGCCCAGCACCCACGGACCCTAAAGAACCATCCGGAAACCTCCCTCTCCCTCCCTCCCTGCTTCCCTCCCTTCCCCCACCTTCCCCCCCCTCCCATCACAAACTCCGAACGGACTTCTTGCGTCAGCGCTGGACCCCTCTCCTCTAGCGCACAGAGCGCGCCAGGGGCGGCGCTGGAGGCGCAGCCTGGGGGTCCAGCACCGCCCCTCCGTCCGTCCTCGACCTCGCCCGGGGTGCGTTCTGAGAAAGACTCCGAGGCGAATCAAGCCGTGGCGACGAGGGCCTCAGGAAACCCAAGGGGCCCCAAAAAGGCGAACACGGTGGAAGGGTAGCAGTGTCGGTACACTGTCCTCCTCCCCCATGTATCCGACGCCGTGAGCTTTCCCGACGTCAGGCAACACGCGTGAGGGGCAGCAAGGTGGTGGGATGAAGACACGCCCAGCCACAGCTGCCAGCAAGCCAACGGGTGTGATGCGGCTAGGCCCGTTACCCCTCCGCCCTCCTCCTCTCGGGTCGGGCGCAGGGGGGCAGCAGCGGAGCCGTACAGCGCACCAGCTGCCAGACCCCGCGGCGCCAGAGGTGCTCTTGCATCGAGGAGGGCGCCCGGCGGCGGGGACGAGGCCAGTCGCATGCCAGAGTTCGCCCTCCGCCCTCCTCCTCCTCCTCCTTCTCTTCCTCCTCCTCCTCCTCATCCTTTTCATCCTCCTCGTCGCCTTCAGTGCCGTCATCATCGTCATCGTCATTGTCATAGTCGTCGTCGTAAGTCGTCGTCGTAGTCGTCGTCGACGTCGTCGTCTGCCCGCCCCCAACCCTTGTCCAGAGAAGAGTCCCGGCACCGCCCCCTCCCCGGACCTTTCCCTTGGCTCGTCCTGACCCGGACTTCGGAGCGACCTCCCAAAAGACCCCCCAATGGGCACACTGGGGGAACGGAGGCGGCATCGGTACCGCTCCCCCTCTGATATTCCCTGGCCTCCGGGCGCGCTCCCGGCGAGCGGCCTCCCAGAGGCGTCCAAGCCGTGCCCAGGAAGGAACCCCTGCTTCTGTCGGCAGCGCTGGCGGTCGCAAGCGCATCTGCAGAGTCGGCGGGCCGCGCAGGCCACTGTGCACGCTGCAGGGCGGGTGTACAGGAAGAGGGCCGCAGGGGAGGGGAGAACGGGGGGGGGGGACGGGGCAGGCAAACGAACTTCGGTGGCGACGCACGGGAGCCTCCCGTGCCATCTTGCTGGCTCCTGCGAATCGAATGCAACCGGATCGAACCAGCGCTAATCGACGACACGGCGACGCGCGTCGACGCTAGACGCTAGACAGGCGCCGTCTAATCGATTACCAAGCGCTAGCGCACGCTAACGCACTCTAAGAACTGAACTTCGACGACACGCAAGGATCCCATACATTGTTCCTGACACAAGCAAACAACAACGGCCTCGACCGTCCGAATTTCGGTCCCTAGAGGCCTCCTAGATGTGGCCCGAGGCGCCGCATCGCCAATACATCGGCGATGCATCGCCGATGCATCGCCGATGCATCGGCGACGTCGGCGAGGCATTGGCGACGCCGGCGCGGGGAAACGCGGCCCCCACATTCAGCCGCATCGCCAACGCATCGGCGACGCGGCGCGATCTACCTACCTCATCTACTCCGACCCTACAGTGGGGGCCCGGCCACAAGAAATTCCCAACAGGAAACCCAACCCTGAGACCCCAGGCCGTCCATTGATTTTTGGTGTGGGAAGGCCATGCTTTCCATGGCAAAACCATCGAAACCCAGAAAACCCAGGGCACCCTGGGGGCAAGCAGGGTGTGTCTTGGCATGGGTCCCCACTATATCTAGGGGGCCCAGCGCCCCACCTCTCGCCCGCGGGGTGGGAGGAGTGTATCTCGGGGGCGTCGGGGGGGGGGGGAGGGGCGAGTGGAGGCAGACCCCCAAAACAGCACAAGCACATACTTATTCTCGGCCCGCGCGGACTTCGCGGAAGGGCGCTGACCCCCCCCCGCCCCCCTCCCAGCCCCGCTAGGGGGGGCTCGACACCGATGCAAAGAATCCGCGCGGACCTCGGAGAAAAAAAGGTTCTGCCGTCTGCTGCTCTTCGACCGATGGGGGGGGCCGAGGCCTCCTCGGTGCTCCTCCCCCGCACTCGATCCATCCTCGCTCGACCCCGGACCCCCGACGTCATGTACTTTTACCTTCTCTCATGGCATGGGCCCCCAAAAGTCTCGACTCACTCCCCAGGGACCGGTTTCTCATCCTCGGTCGTGTTTTTCAGACGGCCCCGAGGCCGCGAAGGACCTCCCGTCGCCATCTTTTCGCTGCGCGGTCTGCCGGGACTCTCCTCCCTCCTCTAGCCCAGCCCGGCCGAAGCTCCTCGAGGCCGCGCCAGCACATCCCCTCCAGCTCCAGCAGCCAGCAGTCCGAGAGCGGCTGCCCCCACGCGTCGGCGCCCCCGCACACCAGCATGCTGGAGCCTCCTTCGCCGACGCGCCCGGGATCGGCCCCAGACCCCTTCGAGCCATGACAGAACCACGACGGGGGGATCTCTGCTGGGTGCGGCCTCTGGAGGCTTTTACTGGGCCCCGGGGCCATCAGAAAACAACTCCGGATGAGAAGCTGGCCCCGGGAATCGAGACCTCTGGGGGTCGAGGTTGTATGAAGTATCCTGGCGAACCACCCAACCATATGCAGTTGTGAAAACGCTTTGTGGGTGCCGCTTTCGGTGGAGCTCCCTGTGGGGCCACGAAACGCGTGAGGGACATGCCGTAATGGGTGGGGGGGGCACATGCGGGCGGTGCCACTGGGGCCTGCGGTGGGGCTCCCTATGAGCCACGAAACGCTGTACTGGGTGTGGCGGACGCATGCGGGCAGTGCTCCTCGCTGGAGCTCCCGATGAGGACACGTAACGCTGTACTGGTAAGGGGAGACGCATGCGGGCGGTGCCACTGGGGTCTTTCTGTGGAGCTCCCTGTGGGGCCACGAAACGCTGTACTGGGTGGTGGCCGACGCATGCGGGCGGTGCCAGTGGGGGCTTCGGTGGAGCTCTCTATGGGGCCACGAAACACTGTACTGGGGGCGGTGCAACTGGGTCCTTCGGAGGAGCTCCCTATGGGCCCACGCAACACTGTACTGGGTGGGGGGTCACATGCGGGCGGACGGGCGGACCACTTGAGCTCCCTACGGGGCCACGAAACGCTGTACCTGGTGGTGGTGGGGGGCGGCGCATGCGGGCGTTCCCACTGGGACCATCGGTGGAGTTTCCTATAGGGCCACGGAACACTGTACTGGGTTGTGGCTGACGCATGCGGGCGGTGCCACTGGGGCCTTCGGTGGAGCCCCGTATGGGGCCACGAAACGCTGTACTGGGTGGTGGCTGACGCATGCGGCTGGTGCCACTGGGGCCTTCGGTGGAGCCGCCATATGGGGCAAACGAAGCGCTGTACTGGGTGGTGGCTGAAACATGCGGGTGGTTCCACTTGGGCCGTCAGTGGAGCTCCCTATGGGGCCCCGAAGCGCTCTTCTGGGTTGTGGCTGACGCATGCTGGCGGTCCCACTGGGACCTTCGGTAGAGCTACCTATGGGACCACGAAGCGCTGTACTGCGTGGTGGCTGACGCATGCGGGCGGTGCCACTGGGGCCGTCGGTGAAGCTCCCTATGGGGCCACGAAACGCTGTACTGGATAGTGGCTGACGCACGCGGGCAGTCCCACTGGGAACTTCGGTGGAGCTCCCTATGGGGCCACGAAGCGCTGTATTGGGTGGTGGCTGACGCATGCGGCTGGTGCCACTGGGGCCTTCGGTGGAGCCGCCATATGGGGCCACGAAACGCTGTACTGGGTTGTGGCTGACGCATGCGGGCGGTGCCACTGGGGCCTTCGGTGGAGCTCCCTAATGGGAAACGAAACGCTGTGCTGGGTGGTGGCTGACGCATGCGGGCGGTGCAACTGGGGCCTTCGGTAGAGCCCCCTATGGAATCGCGCAGCGCTGTGCTGGGTGGTTGCTGACGCATGCGGGCGATCCCACTGGGACCTTCGGAGGAGCCGCCATATGGGGCAGCAAACATCTGTACTGGGTGGTGGCTGACGCATGCGGGCGGTGCCACTAGGGCCTTCGGTGGAGCCCCCATATGGGTCCACGAAGCGCTATGATAGGTGGTGGCTGACGCATGCGGGTGGTCCCACTGGGACCTTCGGTGAAGCTCCCTATGGGGCCACGAAGCGCTGTACTGGGTGGTGGCTGACGCATGCTGGCGGTGCCACTGGGGCCTTCGGTGGAGCCCCCAAATGGGGCCACGAAAAAATGTGCTGGGTGGTGGCTGACGCATGCGGGCGGTGCCACTGGGGGCTTCGGTGGAGCTCCCTGCGGGGCCACGGAGCGTGTGCGGGGTGTGCCGACATGGATATGGGTGACGCATGCGGGCGGGGGAGGGGGGAGGGCGAGGAGGAAGGATCGCGGGGACCGTCTCTTCAAAACGAGGACCCAACACCACAAAATGGTTGGAAACAAATCAAAACCTGACCCGGTGCGCAACACGCAACCCGTAGCGTGTGGACACGGAGCTCAGCGCGCGTACTGAAGATGTAGGTCTGGCGAGGCACGTTCGCCCACTCTTGGGCCAACGTATTCCGAGGAGACGTGCTGAACACAGTACGTGTTGTGTTTCAACATGTGCGCCAGTGGGGGAGGAGGAGGAAGAGGAGGACGAGGAGGAGGAGAAGGTGGAGGAGGAGGGGGCGGAGGAGGAAGAGGAGGGGTGGAGTCGTAGGGGGGGAGGAGGAAGAGGGGGGGGTCGTGAGGGGGGGGCCCTGGGTAATTAGCGGTAACGCTCGGGCTGGGTGGGGCGCTTCAGGGCGGGCCGTGCGATGCGAGCACCGGCACCGGCATGTATACAGGGGCTCCAGGCTTAGAAGAAGAGAAAACGCCATAAGCAGAAACATTTGGCGCTCCGTGCGGGTTTCTTGGGTCCAGCGGCGCCGCCGGCTGGGCCCTGCGCGGATCCAAGAAACCCGGCGGAACGCCAAGACTTTCTGTTTATGGCGTTTTCTTCTTCGAAGGCTCCCCCCCGTACGATCGTTACCGTTACCCCGAGGGGAAGTGCTTGGCCCGGATAGCGACCGTTACGCGCCAGCGAATAAAACAACAAGCTCCGAGGAGGTAAGACGAAGCCAAGACGTGGACAATATCGGACCAAGATAAATTGGGGATCTCTGAGATCCGGCGATTCTGGAGGATGTATCGTGCGGGCGCCGCGGCCGTTCCAGAGCGCTCTGGCACGCTCTGAGGATGCTCCAGAAAGATCTGTAACGACCTGGCAGATTCCAGAAGCGCTGAACCCAACAATACTGCCATCTCTTGGGGGCGCATGCTCCGCTTCCCCCGGCTTCCGCCGCCTGTGCGCCCGCGGAGCCGCCATCGCTGTGCTCCCGCCGCCCTCCGCCGGGGAGGCCCCATCTGGAGCGCGCCCGTGCACCCGGCACCCATGGCCTCACCCGAGCAAGGCGGACAGGCCGGCGTGCCGATGGCCGGACATCCAGCTCTTCTGCCGGCTTCCGGGTGCAGAAGCGGCATCCACGACACGCTGCCGTGGGGAGCCAGGCAGCGCGCCTGCTGAGGAAGAGGCACGAGGCTTCAAGACAACGGCGACGGAGCAACACGCTGACGGGGACCCCGCGACGGCATGTCATTGATGCTCTGCTGCCCCTCCCGGACCATCGCCCCCTGGGAGCCTTTCTCGGGCTGAGGGAGCGTCAAAGACGACAAGGGACAGAAAGCCAGCCGAAGGGGAGTGGACCAAATCACCTCGCGTCGTTAACAAAAGCGGCGCAATGGGAATTGCTTTGATCTTTATTCGGTCCTCGGGTGACCTCGCCGGATCGAAGGACCGTCAAAATCTTAGATGCTCGTTCTGGGAACATCCCTGAAACCACTCGCTCCACTCGTGTGTCTAAGCTATTTCGAGCGTCCGTCGATTTGACTGAATCTAACTTGAATCGAACGGGAGTCGAATGGATCCGTTAGGTGGGCCCCAGGAAGGCCCCCAGAACGAGCATCTAAAAAACGATGATCAAAACCGAACAGGGGGGATCGGCCCAGAACTGCAGGGGCCCACTTGTGCAAGAAGACATTGCATCGGAGGACAGGGGAGGGAGGTGCAGGCAAGATGTACATGCATATCCTCTGCATCTTGGATTTGTGAGATACCTTCACCAGACGCTCGAGGCGCAGTGGATATGAGCAGGAATCTGGCCCCTAGAGGGCACGTAGATGTTCATCTATATCCACTGTGCCTCGGCCTTTTGACGCCACTTTCCAGAAAGTCCGAGACGCAGTTTACATGGACATGAAGCAACCCTCAATTTCGGATAAGAGTGAGGCGGCAGGCGCGGGGTGGTGCGCGGGGCAAGTTGCGGGCGAATCGCGGGGAAGGTCGCGGGGAAAGTCGCGGGTGGATTGCGGGTGGGCCAGTGAAGGACCGTTCGGCCCCCTCACTCTGATGAACCTTGCCCGCAGGATAATTGACCAAAGAAGGACCCCGAACCTTTGGGAGGGGACCCAAGCTAGGAGGGCACCGCCCAGGATTACGATCCCTAATGAGGCTACGTCTTCATCGTGATTTTAGTGCTGGGGGTTCGCTGATCCTCGATGAGCAGGAGGGGCGGAGGGAGCAGGTTAGGTTCGCCATGAAGAGCACGGGCCCCTGAGGAAGCGGGTCCTGGAAACACGCCGCGGGCCTCCGCTCCGCCTCCCGGGGGGAGGGGGGGGGGGCATCGGGCTTCGAGGGCCCGCGCGGTCTCAGGAGCTGGCTGGTGATGACGGGGCTGCTGTCCTCGGGGGAGGACCTGCGGTCCAGAGCCCGCTCCCTCGAGGGCCCGCCTCACTCACGGCCAGGAAGGGAGGAGGGCGGGAGGGAGGAGGGAGGGAGGGGAGGGAGGAGGGAAGAGGGGAGGGAGGAGGGAAGAGGGAGGGAGGGGAGGGAGGAGGGAAGAGGGCGGAGGAGGAGGGGAGGGGCGGAGGGAAGAGGGGAGGGGAGGGAAGGGGAGAGGGGAGGGAGGAGGGAAGAGGGCGGAGGAGCAGTGCAGATCAGAGCGCGCCTGTGTCCTCGTGGGGGGCGGGGACTGGACGGCCAGCGCGGGCGGGCCGGAGCCCTCCGTCGCAGGTGTGGAAGTCGTGCTTCGTGCTGTGTGTGGCGCAGGATTGCTTGTTCTAGGCTGCCCCATTGCGTGCAGTCTTGTGCTAATGCAACCCGTCGTCCACTCCTTGGTTTGAGAGGCGCGTCTGCGGCCAGAAATCATGCGGTATCGTCTTCCCACCACTTCCTCTGACCACAGTGCCTGCGGAGTGCTTGTTGGTGGTCGTGGATGTCCAGCTCCCACGCTGCAGCAAGAGGGCGGAGGAGGGAGAACAGAATGAGGTAATCAAGGTTAGATCGGGCATGTCGTCCTACAGGCGGATTTTTGGAGAAAAAAACATAAAATCAAAGCATGCGAAAAAAACATAAAAAAACGTGTACCAACTACTGTTTGACTATTGTTTGACTACTCATCCTGTAGAGGGAGGGATGTGCACAACTTAAAATTAGGGGGGAGCGCGGAGAAGGAAATAGGAGGCAAGGTGGCGCTTGCGAAGAGGAAATGGCATGGGACGTCGTAAGGAGGAGGGAGAGCGGGAAGAGCGGGGAAGGATTGAGCAGGGAAGACGAGGCAGGGCAGTTGACGGACAAGGGGGGAGGGAGGAGGGAGAAGGGAGGGAGGGGGATAAGGCGATGGTGTGTGTGTGGGAATGGCGGGAGAGAAGGGAGGCAAGGAGGCGGGGAGGCGGTGGTATGTGGATTCTTGTCGGGCCCGCTGGAGACGACCCCACCGCACACCAGCATGACATGACCTTCTCCGCTGGCGCCCAGACATATGTTGAAACGCAGCGGGGGGGATGTAGGCCTCTATGTCCCCTAAATTAGGTGGAGTTCCACGTCCCCTCCTCATCATCCTCCACCTCCTCATCATCATCCTGCTCAGCCTCAACCTCTCCTCCTCTTAATCCACCTCCATCTCGCCCTGCTCCTCTCCTCTTCTTCCCCTGCTCCTCTATCCTCGTCCTCCTGCCAACCCTTCCACCTTGCCCACCTCTTCTTCCACCCCTCCTGCCCCTCCTCCCTGTTCATAGTTTCGCTCGTCACAAGCGACACCTCGGCTCAAACTGCAGTGAGCCGTCGTATGTACCCAGCCGCTTTGCCAGCCTCGCTGTGCCCGCTTGGGCGAACGAGCACCACGCGAGCTATCATCCCCCTCCGGCGGCCGTTTGATCCCTTTGAGCACGTGCGAGTCAGCCCCCTTCAGGCGCAAGCGCGATACTGCTTCCTTCGAGCCATCGGCCAATGTGTAGTTACCCATGTTCGGGGCCAGGACCGAGATCCCCAACATGTTGGCATGGGGCACACCAGGTGGAGACGGGTCCCAGCCCCCTGCCCAGCAAGGCGCCCACGGGATCCCGAGAGCCGGGCGGGGGAACCGAGCTCCAGGACCAAGGCCGATCAGGGCCGCTCACGGCGATACAGCAAAAGAAAACAAACCGAACCGACCCCGACAGGGCTGGACCTAAACGTTGTTTTTCGTTTTGGTTTCGTCCTGTTTTTCTGTTTGCTCTACCTGTTTTCCTGTACCTCCCTGCCAAATCGAAAAGCAATCCAGCAAACAACGTTTAGGTCCAGCCCTGGACCACGAAACCGAACCCGACCGAGACCGAACTTGCCGGAAGCAACCGAGGAGGCCCGCACGGCAACAGAGACGCAGGAGACAATCGAACCGAACCGACCGAACGCAACCGACTGCGAGGCGACCGAACCGACCGAACCGCGGGCTCGGACGTCCCCTGGCCTTCTGAAAAGTGCCCTGCATCCTCTCCGAAGACACCGAAAACTTCCCAGCAGGCGCGAGGGCTTCTGAGAACCCCCGCCGCCTTCCGAGAAGGCCTTCTCCGTCTCACTTCCCCCCCTCGCTCGCCGCCGAGTTCAATTTTTGGGTCATAACTCGGGTCTCCGGCGGCCGTTCGGGACGATCTGGGCATCCCCGGAACGCTCTCGGCGAGACGCAGCCGCTGGCACGCGTCCTGAGGGCGGCAAACCGACAAGAAAGTACGAAAACGAACGAAAACCTCGAACCTTGAACTTCCCCCCCTCGCTCGCCGCCGATTTTGATGACATCATCATATTTTCAAGATGGTCCAAACTGGCATCGTAACCTCACAAAGTGACCTGCCGGCTTCGGCTGGCCCCCTTCCACGCCTGGCGAGAGGGCCGCTTGCAGAGGACCACCATCAGACCGACAGAGTCGACCCCATCGAAACCGCGGAGCTTGAGGGGAACAGCTCCAGAGCCCACAGGGAACAAGATGATGTCCATACCATCGGGAGCGCGCAAACATGGATTAGCGATCCATGGATTTGGCGCGCAGTCGCCAAATCCATGGAGCGGGGGAGGTGCCTTCCCCATAATGCGGCCGGTGCCACCTCGTTCGGCGGCGGAAATCTGTGATTTCCGATGGAAACGGGACCCGTCGCTAATCCACGCCCCTTTGATCCATGTTTGCGGTCGCCTGATACCACGCCTCCCTGGACCTCGATGCTCGCATGCCGATTCTTCGATTACAGACGCTTCATGCAGTGGTTTGGCTTTCGATCTCCCCTCCCTGCTCCCTGGACCTCTCCCGGGGCGCGATCGGAGCAGGATCCCCGCAGCGAGTCTGGCCGTGGCGGCCCGACTTCACTCTGGCGAGGGGCCACTCTCGCGCGTCGCTGAGAGCACTCTTTCGCCAGACGGCGGTCGAGCGGCGGCGGGGTGGCGCCGAAGCACAGCGCGACGCGAAGCCACGCCGGCTCGGCACACGCCCTCTGCGGCTGCCGCCTCCGATGACCCAAGCGGGCGGCGGTCCTGCCACGAGGCACGCCCCGTGGCCCCACCGGCGCGCGGGGGCGCCGCCCTGCGCCAGCGGCCGCTTCCACGCCGCGGGGGCCGGGCGGTCCCCCTGCGGCGGCGGGTCGTTTCTTTTGTTCGCTCGTGGGGCTGCGAGGCCGGAGGCCTCCTGGGCTCCCCAGGTGTGCAGTGGAGGCCCATGCCAAGAAACGCCCTTCTGTCCCCAAAGGGTGCCCTCGATTTCCTGGGTTCCGATGGTTTTGCTATGAAGGCGTGGCGGTCCCACACCCAAAAACCAATGGACGCCGTGGGGTCTCAGGGTTGGGTTTCTTGTGGGAAGTTTCTTGTGGACTGGCCTCCACTGTAGGCGATCGGGGTCCTAAGCCGTGCCCGTGCTCCTTCCCGCGCCACGCCCCCATACGAGGGGCCAGAGCGGGGATGTGGACACCTTCCTGGCCTCCGGGGCCACGCTTGGGCATCCACGCCCTGCTTAGAGGGCAGACAATCAACCCGCATAATAATCACCCCGACTCGCGAAACCGTTTAGTAAACGCACCCAGGGGGGGAGGAATCGAACAGGGCAAGGCTGTTTAGTAGACGCCCAGGCCGTTTAGTAAATGCCAATTGTTGGGTCCGGGTGTTTTTTCTCCCTTGACTGCTTCCCTAGGCGCCCATGGTGGGGGGCAGCAGAAGGGGTAGATGGATCGAGCGTCGATCGTCCAAGATGGGGTCCTGGTAGATGGGGTCGGAGGGTCGCACCGCATCGCCGATGCATCGGCAACGACGGCTGTGCATCGGCGACGCCAGCGCGGAGCAAATCAGGTTGCGCATCGAGCCGCATGGGCGACGTATCGGCGACGCGGCGCTATCCGCCGACACCATCTACTCGGACTCATGCTGGAGGCATAGAGAGACCGACGAAACATGAGGCCTGCCAGCGAATGGCGGCATGCCATTGGCAGCACATCGCATTAAAGAGACGGGGTTCCAATGGATAAGACGGATCGGCACTGTGCAGTCGAGGTCACCTAACGTCGCGCATCGCGCACCGCGATTCGCGCTGCCTTGGAAAAGGGCAGCTCTCCAGCCCAGGCCGCGACGCATGAAGCGCGATAATCTTCGTGCCCTTGGGGTGACCTAGGCAATGCGACACGACACGAGGATGACGCGGATCGAGAACATGTTAGCAAGGAGGGGAGCGAAGATGCGACCGATCAACCGTCCCGCGGGGGCGGCTCCGTAGTACAAGTCAAGGCCCTCTCAACGGGGATTCTCTGATCAACCAAGACACTGGCGCGCCCTAGGGGGTCCTGAGCGCGGTTCGCAAAAACGAGGCTGGGGGAAATCATTGATTGAAACGGCGAAGCAGCGAAGCGTCCTGCCGGGTGCAGGACCGACGACGACAACAACAACGACGACGACGCTGGTCTGAGGGGGCTCATCCGACGCTACGTGTTTCCCAACCCTCCTATGTTGGGTTCTCGTCTGGGAAATACACCACTATGGTCTCCACTTCTCCTCCTTCAACCAAACCCTGCCTCCTGCCTCCTGCTTTCTGCCTCCCGTCGCGGGCATGGTCCGCCTGCCCTGGCTCTTCGGTTTGTGCTATCGCTATCGTCCACTTTCGTGGGCTCGTGGAGGTCGAGCGGAGTGGAGCTGTACGGGGGTCCAGTTGGGACCTCGCTGCTCCCTGGGGGTTGCGAAGTGCGCAACCGTCGCCACTTTCGTGGGCTCCTGGGAGGTCGGATGGAGTGGGGTTGTATGGGGATCCAGTTGGGACCTCGCGGCTCTCTGGGGGTGGGGGCTGTGATGTGCGCAACTGTCGCCATTTACGTGGGCTCCAGGGAAGTCCCGCGGAGTGGAGTTGTACGGGATCCAATTGGGACCTCGCTGCTCCCTGGAGTGCCGCGAAGTGCGCAACTGTCGCTCCTTGCGTGGGCTCCTAGGGGGTCACGCGGAGTGGAGCTGTACGGGGATCCAGTTGGGACCTCGTTGCTCCCAAGGGTACTGCGGAATGCGCAACTGTCGCCGCGTTCGTTGGCTCCCGGGAGGTCGCGCGGAGCGGGGTTGTATGGGGATCCAGGTGGGACCTCGCGGCTCCCTTGGGGGGCTGCGAAGTGCGCAACTGTGGCCATGTTCGTGGGCTCTTGAGAGGTCGCGCGGAGTGGAATTGTATGGGGGTCCACTTGGGGCCTCGCGGCTCCCTGGGCGGCTGAGAAGTGCGTCCTGGGAGGTCGCGCGGAGAGGAGCTGCACGGGGATACAGTTGGAACCTCGTGCCTCGCTGGGGGGCTACGAAGTGCGCAGCTGGTCCCACTTTCGTATGCTCCTGGAAACTCGCGCGGAGTGAAATTGTACGGGGATCCACTTGGGACTTCGCGGCTCCCTGGGGTTGCTACGATGTGAGCAACCGTGGCCACGTCCGTTGGCTGCTGGAAGGTCGCGCAACTCCATGGGGGGCTGCTAAGTGCGCGACTGTCGTCACTTCCGCGGGTTCCTGGGAAGTCGAGTGGGGTGGAGTTGAACAAGGATCCAGCTGGGACCCCGCGGCTCCCTGGGGGGCTGAGAAGTGCGCAACTGTCGCCACATCTGTCGGCGCGTGGGAGGTCGGGCGGAATGGAGCTGTAAGTGGTCCAGTTGGGAAGAAGGTTGGTCTTACGCGTGAATTGAATTCATACACGCCGTGTGTATGTGTGTGTGCGTGTAACGCAGTTACAATATTTTCGCAGTGTCAACGCGGCGTGTTCAACGCATTGTTTTGATGACGCAATGGAATGGTTGGCTTCGCAATGGACGCGGAGCGTTTAACGCAGTGCTGCTTCACGTAGTGGTGTACGCTATGTTTGTGTTGATTGTGTTAAAGAGGTGCGTCTAACGCAATGTTTGTGTTAGCACAATGTGTTTGATACGCCTTTCTTTGTGCTTGCGAAATGTTACCTGCGACATGCGTTATACGCAATGTTTTGCGTTGGCACCATGAGTGTTTCAACAATGCTGCAAGCGCAATGAATGTGTAAGCAGTGTGCGTGCGCAATGCTAGCTCGTACGCAGTGTTTGTAAGTAATGGTTGTTGGTTGCTACGCAGTGTGTTGTTCACGCAATGTGTGTCACTCACGTGTTTCGTTGTGTCGCGCAATGAATTTAACGCAATGCGTGTACGCAATGGTCGTCCTTAATGGTTTACGCAATGCTCCCACGCAAACATGTAACGCAAAGCAAAGCAAAGCGTGCTGTTTGAATACATGTTTCACTGTGTTTAGCGGTGTGCTTGTTTTCCGCAATGCGTTCAAACCAATTTGTTCTGTCGCAGAAACAACGTAACGTGGCTTACGCAGAGTATGCGTTGTACGCAATGTTGATTCAACGCAGTGTGTGTGCGTGTGTGTGCTCAAGCACAATGACATACACCGTGGTTGGTATAGCGCAACGTCGTGTTGTTCACGCGCCTGTCGTACGCAGAATTTGTGTTAGGCAATGTGGTATCACGCAGTGTCATGTGTACGCCGTGCTTTTGTGTTACGTACTGTTGTCTATGCAATGTTTCCCACGTGGTGTTGTACGCTTTGTGCGTTGAGCCAGCGCCTTTCAGTCGTCGTTCTTGGAGGCGCGCACTAAATCATTGCGCAAGAAAACACTGCGTAGAAAACACTGCGTAGAACACACTGCGGAGAAAACACTGCGCAAGTGGGCTTTCGGGTTTTCGTTTTCTGGCGTCGGATTTCGAATTGTGGGCTGTCGCGTTTCGGGCCCGCTTGCGGGTTTCGGTGTTCTGGCTTCGGACTTCAAATGCGTTGGGTTCCGCTGTACGGGCAAGCTTATCGGTTTCGAATCTCGGACTTCGGATTTCCGATGTGTGCTGGGTTCCGCGTTTCGGGCTGGCCGTCGAATTTCGATGTTCTGGCTTCCGATGTGTTTGGTTCAACGTTTCGGGACGGCTTTCGGGTGTCGGTGTTCTGGCTTCGGATGGTCGAGTCTCTTGAATCCGCAGTTCGGGTTGCCTTTCGGGTTCGATTGTCTGGGAGTTCCTGGCTTCGGATTACAGTATGCGGGCTTCGCCTTTCGATGTTCATTGTTGCAACGCCTGGTACAGCGCCGAGCAAAGCGCCTAGCACAGCGCCTAGTTCAGCGCCTAGCACAGCGCCAAATCGAGCGGCACACTACCTAGAACACAGTACGCAAAACCACTTCGCAGCCGTAGAAAATACTGCGTAGAAATCAATACGAACAAAACAACACTCCGTAGAACACACGACGTAGAAGACACGACGCAGAAACCACCACGTAGAAACCACTGCGTAAAAGACACTACGTTAAAACACACTACGTAGGAATCACAATGTAGAAACCGCGACGTAGAACCAACTACATAGAACACACAACGTAAACAACGAACAACTGCATTCACAAACACTGCGAAGTTTTCAAAATTCACGATTCAGACATATTTCACGATTAAGAGGAACCTTCAGTCAAGACCTCGCGGTTCCCGTGGGGGGCTGCGAAATACGCAACTGTCGCCACTTTCGCGGGTTCCTGGGAGGTCGGGCGGAGTGGAGTTGTACGGAAATCCACTTGGGACCTCGCAGCTCCCTGGGGGGGCTGCGAAGGGCGCAACTGTCGCCACTTTCGCTGGCTCCTGGGAGGTTGCACGGAGTGGAATTGTACGGGGATCCAATTGGGACATCGCGGCTCCCTGTGGGGGCCGCGAAATGCGCAACTGTCGCCACTTCCATGGGTTCATGGGAGGTCGCGCGGACTGGAGTTGCAAAGGAACCCAGTTGGGACCGCGCGGGGCCCTGGGGGGGGGGGCTGCGAAGTGCGCAACTGGCGCCACTTTCGCGGGCTTCTGGGAGGTCGGGCGTAGTCGAGTTGTACGGAGATCCACTTGGGACCTCGAGGCTGCGAAATGCACCACCGCCGCCACGTTCGCGGGCTTCTGGGAGGTCGCCTGGAGTGGAATTGTACGGGGATCCAATTGGGACCTCGCGGCTCCCTGGGGAGCTGCGAAGAGCGCAACGGTCGCCACTCATGTGGGCTGCTGGGAGGTCGCGCGGACTGGGCTTGTGCGGGGATTCACTTGGGACCTCGCGGCTCCCTGTGGGGGCTGCGAAAG